CGATCGCCCCACACAACTCTTGCAAACACTCCTCAACTTGGCCATGTGCCCATACGGATCTTCTAAAGCCATACCAGAAAATAAACCCCTTGTTGTAAGCATCTGCATCAAACTGCTAGTCACCACAAATGTATGCCCTGAAGGTAAATGGGGGAGAACAATGGGTCCTTTAGATTCGACAGTGTTAAATTTGACCCTGTAATTATCACGCAGTCTTGGTTCAAGTGGAGCTTGCACCCTCAATGCATCTCCAGGTAGATTATTAGCCTGAACCTGAACATTCTCATTATTCACTTGGTCCTCAAGCTCCTCTATGACTGGGTGATCACGGACCCCTTGATTATTCATCCTTCTCAAAGTTTTGCTCAACTCCAGATCGTACGGGGTCAGTGGTTCACCTCGACTCCGTGTACTTGGCATACACTAGAGCAGAAACCTGAAGAAAGCAAAAACAAAAGAAAATGTAAAATTAGGAAATAATTGACCAAAGTTCAATAATGTAGTTAAACTTAATCTAAAAGCCTTATTCCCCGGCAGCGGCGCCAAAATTTGATACGCTCAAATTACACCTCTCTAAAGAATTATAAGCGATCGTTGTCAAATAAAGAACCCAACTTGTAGGTTGGGGTCGATCCCACAAGGAATATGGTTTAGACTTAACTTTAACTTACGATTATATTCGTTTAGTCAACGTATTTCGGAGACAAGTAAGTAAATGGGGGGGGGGTGGTTTGTGTAACAAATAACTGATTAGACAGCAAGTGAGCAAGTTTCAAACTTTAGTTGTTATCAATGAGAGAAAGAAACTAGGGTGTATGTGTTCCCCATAATCTCATAATGCGGTAATCCTAGTAATAGTAATCCTTTCCTAGTGTATCACGCAAAGTGTTAAATTATGTATCCCTAAGTGCTTGGTCCGCCAAAATAGAGAATTTCACCCTGCACCTTGGTCCGGCTACGTGTGTATAATTTTACTAACCCCTTACATTTACCTCAGATTAGACATCACATCAATGTATGACTTAGTTTTCACCCTCGCACCAATTGACATTAGACTATAAGATAGTATCACACTAAATCTCCGTTTGATAAATTCTTTTCTTATTTAACTACCTCCTTGGTCCGGCAAGTAGCAACAAGGCGAGTTCTAACGTTGGCCACTGTTAAAAAGACTTCTAAACGAAAGAATTATCAATGCATGCAACAACACTATTCAAGAATTACTTAGTTACTATTTATACTTTGTTAATCGTTCATGGTTCCCCACAACCCTAGTTGTGGATTTAGTTACCCAAGCTAGCAAGAACACAATTCATATTTTTAGAAGAAGAATTCATGAACTTACGTAATGAGTAGAAGAAACTCGTAATTTTCAATTGAAATTCAAAGCAAGAATCTTTATAAACCAAAATTAGGAAATCAAATTGCTAGAGTTTGCAAGTTAATTCCCAAGAAAATACCAAGAACTAAAAGTTAATAATAATGTCTAACCCCTAAAAACGAGGTTTACATACCATATGTATAGAAAACATTATCATAAACAAAAAGGAAATGAAATAAGGAAATAAACTGCTGGACGTGGCTTCAATCGACGAGACTCACCTACGGACCGTGGATCGACCTACGGTCCGTAGGTCCCTTCCGTAGCTCAGGACTTAGAATTTTTCCACAGAGGTTGGAACCTTCAACTTTCATATGCAAACGATGGTTGTGCAGTACAGATTGTAGGTGGGTCCCCTTCCGTGGCTCCACACTTAGAACTTTTCATCAGGTACTAGAACTCAAAATCTCTAATACAAACGACGAATGTGCAGGACGGCCCATGGGTCGACCTACGCTCCGTCAATGGCATTCATAGTTCCACACTTGGTCAAGATTTCCCTGATGCTCCATCTATGCCACCCACCTACCGAGCGTGACTGGACCTACGGTCCGTAGGTCACTTCCGTAGGTGGCTCCTTCAGCAGAATTTCAGCTGTTGTCTCTCTCAACCTCGTCCAATCCTATTTCCTGCAATTATAACACAAACACATTAATTCTAATACAAAATGGCCCTAGACACACACAACTCTTAAGTGAAATGTATTAAAAATACTGTAAACTCACGGTATATCATTAATGCAAGGGTAAACTTGAAATGATAATATCTCCCAGCATATAAAGGGTTAAGTGCCCCATAAACTATCGCATTAAAGTTCTATGAGTCTTCTTTCCAACACCACTGAGATTGCATCAATTCTAATTCAGAGTAGAAAGTTATGGTCTTTTTACACGAACATGTTCGGGCTGAGAAATTTGGCGAGGACACCTGTCATTTCAGCGACTCGCCGAATGGTTTGGTGAATTGTCAAATTACTTGCCAAAATATCCCAAAAACCTCATATCTCTTAATTTTTTGACGATCTAGAGCCCCATTTGGTGATCCACCGAGTTATTTGGCAATGGAACCTTCAGATCACCGATTTGGCTCTCAGAATTCATTAAAAGGTCGTTTTCTTTGACTTTTATGGTCTTGTTACGTTCCTAGTAGGGTATTCTTGACCTTTTACTCTCAATCCATTTCCCTAAGTTCATCTTACAACCTAATAACATAATTATTGTATAAAAACTCTCAAAATCCCCAATTCTCCTTCTTCCAAAAATCAAGTGCTTTAGAAAGGGATTTCTCCAATTTCGCAAGATCTAAAGTCTCCAAGTTCAAGATTCTCTTCAAAAATCTTAAGGTTTTCAATTAAGATTCTTCTCCACTCTTCATCTCCAAGAAAACCATATATAGAATGATCTCTCAAGTTCAAGATATAAAATTCCAAGAGACCAAAGAGAGTTCACCTTCTAAGTCTCATCTCAACTGTTTCTCTTTAGTCCCTTTATTATAATTATGACTTTATTTTTTAGAAACATTATTCCATTGTTTCCTCCATATGTTACTTTATATGAGTATAGTGTACATTCCACGTACTGATGTATACCTCTCTGTGTTACATCATTTTATAATGTAGATTCTGGTGCTTGTACTCAGCCTCGTGGCAAGTAAAGTTACAACATTTCAAGTTAGCACTTGGTGAACCCTCATCGTTAGAGGACTCCATTAATTTAGGTTACTAGACTTTCCTTCAGGTTGTCTTTGGTTTTTGGGTAGTTGGGGGCCTTGTCCTGACAGACTTATGCTTTCATTCTAAGTAGTTGAGGCTTTATTCATACATTAGTAATGTAGTCTCATGGATCTATTAACTCACACTATTCAGTCTCATGTTAAGAATATGTTTCTCTTCGGCATTTGTTTCATATGATATGCCTGATAGGTTAAGCTAAGGATTAGCCTGGGATCACTCTGGTTTTAGATACCGTGTCTCGATTGAGGTGTAACCTCGGATCATATTGACAAACATTGCTCATGATATCCTTTTATATTTTTATATTTTTTATATAAGTTCAAAGCTACAAAAGAAAACATATATACTACAGTTCGAATTGGCGATTTGCAAATCATGATGAATTGGATAAAACTTCATGTTATTATTAATTTAGTTACGTTATTAGATAATTTACAAATTCAGCTTATTTAAATATATTAAACAAATTTCGTCAGATTATTATAATAGACCTATCTTATAGATTATTGACAAATTCTATGGGGTTGACATTATTTAAATGTGTTATTTGACAAAGTATTTTTAAAACTTATAATTTCGGTTGAAGTTCTCCTCTAAATTTACTTCAACTGATCTCAAATTTAATACAAAGTCTTCAAACACCAACACAACTGATCTCAGCTAACATATTTAGTCAAATAAAAAAGACTCACTTTGTTTTCTTCAACACTTTTTTAGGATCAATAATGGAGTTTTGATATTTTTTAACTAAATCTTCTATTAACGACGAACCACACTATAAAACGTTATTCTTTTTGGAATTTTGAAATTAAATTAACCACGTAGAATAACTTAACTTAATGTGGTTGCAGAAACTGTTAAGTATTAAACTAACTATTGCTTGACATAAAATATATTACCTCAAAATGCTTGTCTCCACCATAGCTTTGTCCATAATCAAAGGAGGAATCCTGTTTGAATAATTTAAGTCATAATTAAAAAATTATATGAAAATTATAGATATTTTTTTAAGATAAAGACACTTACATTAATAGTGTCTTGAATCGAAGGTTGACAATACTTGTTTAGAAGAGTTTCATCATTAGTACACTCAATAACCTTATAGACATCATCCTTTTTGCTAATGTTTGATTCCTCAATCATAACCTTGAACATGAGTTTTTTCTCAATTAAATCATCAAGCTCACTTGGATAAGAACATTCAGCATTTTCAAGTAATCCTTCATTTAACTCTTTTGCAGGCTTTCCTATTAGTTGTAAAGCCTCTCTATTCCCAAGCCATAATGATATAAATGCAGTTCCATCCGTAACATACATTTGAAGATTGTACCTGAAAATTTTAATATATTGTGTTACAGAATAGTATAATAATTGAAATTTAAATTTGTTACTGTTTATACAAACCTGTGAATAATAGATATTACTTCTTCATTACAGTTTGAACAATAATATTTGTTTTCCTCTTGGTCCATCATTGTGAAACATTTGTTGCATGCCAAGTATGACCATCCATGATCAAGTTTCAAACAAACAACTTTTGCAGCAATCCAATAGGCAGATTCCTTTGCACACATCAAATTTAGTTTAATATACCAATTAGAAAAAGTAAATAAAGTAATTAATCAATAATATATTAAACTCACTTCAGTGCATTGAATTAAATCACGAAGAAATTTAAAAGGCACAATTCCTTTAGACAACTCATCCTGAATAGTATATTGTTGTGAATTTGTCTGAAATATCCTCTCAAATTTTGGACCACATGATGCAACTAATAGGGTGTGTTTGGTATGAAGGAAAACATTTTCCGGAAAATGTTTTCCAATTTTCTCATGTTTGGTTGGGTTAAATGTTTTGGAAAATGTTTTCCAAATCAACTCATTTTCCTCAAATTGAATCAGTAGGCTGAGGCAGATTAGAATTTATCCAAAGTTTCGTTTCATCCCAACAACTATGAACATAGTAGTTTTCTGTTGATTTTTTTCTTCAATGTTAGTCAATTTTTATATACATCAATGATAATTTGAATTATCAACTTCATTTATTTTACGATGATCGTACCTCTTATTTTGTGACCCATCATTAATTGCAAAACAACAATCAATGGTTCATCTGCAGACTCACACAAATGAGGTTGAATTTGATACGCATGTTTGCTCCATAAAATTGTTGAAAGCCTATCTTTCCTGTGTTAGTAGATTGTTAGTGACTTATATCTAATGAATATACAATAAACATAATAAATTTAAAGAAATGATGATAAAATAAGATTAAACATTAATGACAAAGCTTACTTATCATCTTCTAGTATAACTTTAAAAAAACAATCATCATTATCTTCTTCCTTGCTGAATTTATATGGTTTATAAGAGACAACCTGTCCAACAACATCTATAGATAATATAGATTAGTACAATTTTATGCAAAACAAATTATGAATTGAGTAATAGTGAGT